TGGGCCCCAGTGCCGGTCTGAACCGCGTGGAGATGAGAAAATTCTTGACCCTACTGGGACTCGAATTCTGATCCCACTGTCGTGCTGTCCGTAGCCAGTGGCTATTCCGACTGAGCTATCCCGGCTCCTGCATAAGTTGCATAATCCACAACAGATTAAATTTCTTTATCGCTTGCATAACCTGCAACTGTTGAATTTCTTTATCATAGGTAAAACCAAAAAACTTCTCGATTTGATGATCAGTAATCTCTTATATAACCATCAAATTTACAATTTTATGATCAGGTATATAACCACAGGTTTTTCAATATTGTTATCAATTTTCTAACCAGCAACATTTTTGTCCCTTGCTGAGTTATATAACGAACAAATTATGAGTTTTTACTTAGTTGAAAATCAACTAATTTTATTTTATTATTGGTTGTATAGCCAAAAATTATTCAACTCCCAGGCATCAGTGAAACAATTTTTTCACTTCAATTTCTTAACTTTAGACAGTAGGTAGTGCTCCTTGGAGGGGAATCAGCCTTGTCTCAAGGCCGCTAGATACACAGGACAACACAAACACAAAATAAATGCACACACAGACATGTATGCCTTGAGTGGGATTCGAACCCACGATACCAACGTTCGGGCGAGCGAAGACAGTTCATGCTGTAGACCGTGCGGCCACTGTGATTAACACTATCTCTAAAATCTGATAACATTCACTGCTTCACATTTTTCGTGAAAACATTTGGTGGTATCTCTTGATTACTTCATCGCGTACCTCACCAAGTGCTTTCCTTCATGTATTCTTTCCACCGAATCGCCAAAAACTAGAAGTGGTAACAGTAATAATCCTTCTGTAAACTGTTTTCTCTTGCATTCTAGAGGCTGAAAACCATCGCATCGTGAGTAGCGAATAAGTTACAGACCAATGGATCGGTAAGTGTTTCAATAGTTATCACAGCGCGAGAAAAAATGCACTTGACTTACACAAAGGACCGGCAAGTGACGGTAATTTTTCCCATCATAATCGCTTGCAGATTTCGTATGCTGTAGCTTTTGCAGTAGTTCCAGATCTTCATTAACCAGACCGTAATAAAGGAGCTTAAGCCAACATTATTCAAAATTTCCATAGAACTTACTAATCCAGAAATTCCTAACAATAGCTCAGCACGGGAAATAATTCCCCGTCTACAACAATCCGAAAATTCAATACAATTTCCATAAAAGTGTGTACATTTCTTACGTATTTCTCATATACCTCATGCGTGCTACATTTTCCGTCGATCTGTAAATTATTTGACTATCCGTGTAGACCAAACTGTTTTCAAATTCCAGCAGTTCTCATTAATTCACACCAGTGTATAGAATGGTCAATTTTTCGAAAAATATTTACGAGATTTGAAAACCTGTCTTGAAATATCTGTCTGGTAAATTTGGTAACAGTTCGAAAAAACACAGTAAATATTGCATATTCTGTAATTTCGGGTAGCTTTTATGAAATCGGGCCCAAAATATACTGATTATCAGCGCTCTCAGAAATGTAAACACAGTACAAACAAGGAAGATACTAGAGTCTGTATTTTTTTTTAATTTTGTGAGGTGCTGATGAAACCATCAAAAATGGATTAAATTAAACAATTTTTGGTGAGAAATATCACGCAAATGTATTAACTACCATGTCAGTCTCGGGACAGAGGAGCAGTATTCTGTGGTTACACAACAAACGTCAGCAGTATGCTCGCTTGTGCAATAGAACTAGTTGCCACAATTGCGTTCTTAATGGAGCACCACGGAAGGTACAGTTTATAAGTCTTGGCTAAATCTGATATATAATTCGCTTAGTGGGGGTGGAGTCCAACTGGGTCCACCCGGCACGGCGGCCACTGATTGGCCTATTGCATCTGCCCCGGGTGATTATGATGATGGAAAATTTGGTGGAATGAAGATTGGCAGGGGAAACCGAAGTACTCGGAGCAAACCTGCCTCAGCGCCACTTTGACCACCACAAATCCCAATTTACCAGACCCGGGATCGAACCCGGGCCGCTGCGGTGGGAAGCCAGCGCCTAATCGCCTGAGCTATGGCGCGCCCTCCAAGTCTGATATATACGATGACTATTCGGAAAATAACCTCCGTTTATTTTAGGCAACTAATGTAGGAATGGGGCGTGATGGCATCACATTACTCATTGCCTTGTAACCCATTACATAACTGGTCACATAGTGTTTGTTCTTGTCTCTACAGAGTGAGTTATGATGTCCTGCCAGTAATAATCCCACCAGATGCGCAATTCGGGTTCTTATTCACTTTCTTCACGTTAAAATCATGAATTATGAGCGGTTTACAGCCAAAATGTCATGAGTGAAAGAACTCTAAGACAGTGGTGTAGAATATTCAAAGATAGGTGAACAAATGTTCACGATGAAGAGCAAAGTGATCGGCCGGCCATCTGTAGTGAGCGATGATTTTCTTCAAAGTGCTGACCACAACATTTGTGAAAGACGACGTTTCATATTTTCAGAACTTTGGTGTGAATTTCTACAAACTTCACGCACTCTTCTTTACGAGATCGTCACAGTTAGGCTAGGCTGTCACAAGTTTTACGCAAGATGTGTTCCGAAATTGCTCACAGGTGCGCGCAAGACACAAGGAATGGCTTCGGATTTGAATTTTTAGTGCGGTACCACAAAGATGGGCACGAATTTCTTAATCACGTCACACGAGTAACAGGTGATGAAACCCGCCAGTCGCGTGACTGATATTATTACAGGCGACTACTCTGGGTGATATTACATCAGACTGTAATATCACAGACGCTCAACAGTGATTATAGGGACCCATAAATTCATAATTTTTAAGTTAGAAGCTCGTAATTATTATTGCAAAAGTGATATAAGTCCCCACGCAGTTGAGAAGTAAAATTGCAGACAAACTTGTTGCGATGTAGGCATCTTGTTTACACGGGAATGGAGTTCCCACAGTAAGTACGGAAGGCTATATTTCTGAAGAGTTCTGTCTTCTACAATGTAGCGTAATCTAGTCCGTTTATAGTCAGACGACGTTTCGGACGAATAAGTCACGTTCATTTTCAGGGTTGAAGAGTAAGTCAAATAAGCAACAAGCGAAACTTGGTGTCATCTTCAAGGTGGATTCTTTCTTCCATTAATTGTCAGTCCAAATATGGAAGCGACATGTTTCTCCGATTCCTTAGTTTTGCTGTCTTCTTCATGATAGCCTGGTATCTTGCTTGGATTTATCTTCAACCTTCAAGATGAAGGCAAGATGTTTCCTCCGTAACTTCCGTTCACTTAGTGAACTACACAATATTATACAATATTATATTCCAGAATACAGAAGTTTCCTTAATGACTGCTGTAGCAGTATTTCTCTCTGAAATTCTGAGTTGAGCCCGTCTATGGTCTTAATTTTGGTGAGGTCAGACATGCTTAGTTATATCACATTATTTAGCATATATTATTTTTCCTTTTTTTCCATTGTAGAAATAGATTAATGCTTTGTTTTAACGAGTAGTCTCATTGCATATGTTCGCGTAATTAAATCAAGGAAGATGAGACTGATGCAGCATGCATAATGCAAATGAGAAACACGTATACAATTTTGGTCGGAAAACCTCACGATAAGGGAGAAGTTAGGAGACATACGGGTAGACTGGAAGATAATATTAAATTACATTTTTAAAAATATATATGAAAGTAAGGTGCACATTAATCTGGCTCAAGATAAGTTAAAAGTTCGGCGTTCATAAATATGGTGATGAAAACAAAGTCAATAAAAAGTCCGTCGAGTGTAACAATTTATAGGTCACTTCTTTATCACTTCTGCCTTACATGTTTCGGTTTAATAAAACCATCATCAGAGGCACATAGTACAAACATGAAAACACTGCCGTTGTTTAAGATGTACACAGTTATGTTTGCTGCGTGAACGCTGCTACAATACGTCGACGTGTAAAAGCACAACACTTGTTAGAATTGTTGAATGCACGTTCAATTCTCACATTCATCCGAAACTGCCCTCAAGTTAAAACGCCAATGTTAAAATATTTAAAATTTAAAACATTTGAAGTAAAATGTTAAGCTCCTCCTTGTTAATTCGTCCCGAAGATGGGAGATGTCAGCTTGAGGATGTATGGCTGCAAAGATATTGTATTACATTAGGTTTTATATATTATTATATATTTAATTTATTATTTTAGTGTTGTATTTGATCCTTGCTTACCTTATGGTTAGATGTTTCCTATGTGCTGTGTGTTGTGTACTGCAGTGGGAGTTCTACGTCAGTGTTATTTAAAGCCTTGTGTGTTATGACGTGGTCGGGGGTGTGTTTATACAAGTAGTAATGAGGTCAAACATGCTGTTCTGGTTATTGATCTCTTTTGCCTGTTTCTGCTCATCTATTAATTTGTTATCCTTATA